CAAATCTAATTCTCAGATTTTCCTCAAAGATCTTTTTTTTCCCCTCTTGCTAGTGTTATCCTTCAGAGCCTCTCCACCAAAATTAAGTAGCTTCCTGCTGCCCCAAGGGGGCGAACATGAAATATAGAGTATCAGCTCTGAGTAAAGCAAAAAAAAAAAAAAAAAAAAAACCCAACCAACCAACCAAAAAAGACTTCCCATATTTTACCGATTGTGTTCCAGTTAATACATCCCAGAATGACCTCTCCATTTTCTGCAGCAACATGAACATTGCCAGTTTGCATTTTCCTGGTGATCCAAGGTACTTGCAGTTTCTTTTTTTGCCATCCTGCAGGCAATATTCCTCCAAGTTTGATAGCTGCCTTTAGCTTGCTGCTCTAACTGCAATGGCTTGTCATTTTGGGTATTGAATTCCATTTGTAAAATTCAGAGCCTGTCTCTCCTTTACCAGAATCATTTTGTGGTCTTATCCTACTGTCCTAAGTGCTCCCAGACTGTCCCAGCTTGGTAACATCCCTATGAGTTATGAGCATATTCAGAGAATCGTAGGATAATTTAGGTGGGAAGGGACCTCTGGATGTCACCTGGTCCAACCACCTGCTCCAAATGGGGCCAACTTCAAAGTTAGATCAAGGCGGTGTTCATTCAAGTTTTGAATATCTCTAAGGAAACATAATCCCCCTGGTAAATTCTTAATTAAAACATCGAGTAGAATTAGACTTGGGTTCTGTGTGAAACCTCACATGAAGTGATCTCCCAGATGGTAGGAAGCAGCTCTGGAGCATCATTTCCTACCCTGTGATGTATCTTCTCCATGCAGACAAACCGCCGAGCTGGGGACCTCAAGAGTGCTGGACACAAGGCCCAGCAGGCTTTGACAGCAGGGCTGAGCAGCCGCCATGCCTGCAGCACTGCACACGGGTGGCTGTGCCCCAGGATCACCGTGGGGCACCCTTCCGGCTCCGTGTTTATAGGTTAGGAAATGTGCATGACAAGTCTAAGCTCTACTCAGAGTCGATGACCGCCAGCATTTTTGTGCCTGCTACCAAAGTACAAGGCCCTGTTTCTGTTCTCTCCAGTGCACTTTGCTCTTTTGCAGCCCCTGGGTAATGCCTCTCTTAGATAAGCTCCACGCTGGCGTGCTGCCTCTCTGCATCTGCTGATCTAAACAGAGCGCAACACGCTACTGTCAGGCATTGAGTCCCATGCTTTTGCAGCTCATGCATCAGCTGTCCCTCTCACCACAAAGTTCTCCTGTGCTCAGGGCCATGTCAACAGCTTATTACCAGTGTTTGCCATGGTCTTTTCCCCCTTCCTTCCCCTATCACTGGTTGACTCCCCAACTATGATTCCTTCCCCTGTGCTCCACTGACCCCATTTGAATTCACCCCCCAGTCATTAACCTGCACATCATGTGGTTTTCCTGTCATATCGCTAGGAAAAAAAAACATGCAGAAAGCATTCTAGCTGTTCTCTTGTCTATGTTTTCTAATGCTTTAAAGACTCCTTCAGAGAATCCTCAGAATTGGTGCTGAAATATAAGTTGATCACATGCTTTCTTTCCATTCCTGTATCTTTCCTTTATGCTGAAGAATGGACAGAAGGAAGATATATGTACTTGTATGCACGTGTGCTTTATATGATCTTACAACAGGGACATATGGCTCTATTGTCTTGTTTCTGGCTGACCAAAGAACTTGGTGGGAACAAGATAAATTTTGCAGGGCAACCCAAATCATTAAAGGAGAGAATTTTTATTTGGAATACATAAAAACACCCCCAAAATCTGACTATACTGATCATTAAGGAGGATCCTATTTAAGATCCAATCCCTGCAATTCTCCAGTGCCAATCTGACAGCATTTCCACTGCACAGAGCTGTGATCCTTCCAGAAAGCATTTGGCAAAAACAGGAAAACCAAGACATGGCACTCCTGCTGATGCAGAAGCTACTTTGCATGAGTTTATTCCTCACTAAATACAACCTTTAATGCTTCTGTATTCACCTTAAAGCGTCAAAATCAAGGTTCAGCTCCCATCTGTTTTTCCTATGTAGGTCACTTTTCTGGACTCTTGCCTAGCTCTTTAGGCAGGGCTGAGCAGGAGCGGGAGCTGACAGTGGAGTCGCAGCCTGAGACTAAGCCCTGTGCCTTGCTAGAGAAGGGAATTGTAGCTGATTTAGCTTCAGCTTAGCATAAGTCTGACTCTTGCTTCGCATAAGTGCCTAAAGTAGATGAAGCCTGCAGGCCTCAAGGCAGAACTGTCAATGAACTCGAGAGACATTGCTGGTGATGTAACTGCAAAACCAGCTAATGAGGATACAAAACCAGCTAATGAGGATATAAAACAGGATGCAGGAGACAAATGGGATGCGCCTGGGTTGTGGTTGACCTTCAAGGAGATAAGGGACTATGAAAGACAAGGACATGGCAGCCAGCCTGGGATGTAGTCCAGGACCTGTCAGAAGGAGAGAGACACCAATCAGGAGAGAGACCACCGACTCAGTAAAGAAGACTGGAGGAGACCTTCACTGGCAGGCAGGGAAATAAGAATCTAAAGGGTATAATTACCCCAGAATTTCTTTGTTTGGGGTCTCTCTCCAGAGGCACCCAGCTCAAGCTGTTGCTTCGCTGTACCATCATTTAAATAAATAATTAATTTTGTTGCTATACTTGTGTGAGACTCTGCTCCTCGGAAACCTAGGGTTGAACTATTTCCGCAACAGCCTGATCCTTCCTACCCACTCCTGGCAGCTTTAGGCACAGTCCATGACCCTACTGTGTCACCACTGCTCTACTCATGTGACCCCAGTGCTGTGAGGGACTGAGAAAAAGAAAGCCTTACTTCTTTCGTGCAAGCCATAGGATCTTTGTTTTCGCCTTTGAAATGTGCTCTTCTCCACATCCAGGCACATAGAGCTAATAGCTGTCATCCCCACACTGCAGATGGGCTCTTTTCTTTCTCATGCTGTCGCGTGTCTTCCCCTGTTTGATCAGCTTTCTTCTGTTATGAGATGCACCCAAAAATTATATTCATATAACTAGGGATCACAGCCACTACTGGATAATACTGTGTTTCATAACAAGTGTTACCCCACAATGTCACATGACAGTTTGACTCATGGCCAGTTTTTAACATCATTTTTGCCTGGGCTTGTATAGCTAACAAGAACATCCCTTTCTTTCCTTGCTGTCCAGCATTGGCACAAGGCAGTACATTGCCTTCCTCCCCTAGATGCTCTTGCAGTGGATGTGATGAGAGCGTTTGCTGCGTGGTTGCCCCACAACAAGTCGTGTGTGTTGTTCCTGACTGTCACGCTACAAAAGCAAAACCTTTCCCAGAGAGCAAAACAAGGGAAAGGACCAAGTCAGTGGGGCGGTGGCTAGCTTCGCCAGCGTCCCAGAATTGTGCCCAAGGCTCATGAAATCTCTGGCCACCGAGTATTCACCTAAACAGCAGGGAGGCCCCGGATGCTAGATCTGCTACGGAGCGCTCCAGGACCGCCAGCCGCCTGCCAGCCGGCCGCCGCAGCACGCCCCAGTTTCCGTCGGGAAGGAAACGAGGGAGCAAAGCAGAAAACGAGAAAAAAAGATGGGAGTTTTCTGCATCGAGACAGGTGGTTTTTTCTCATTCGCTTTGCCGGGGGCACAGGCCTTAGCCTTCAACTGGAACAGGAGGCCTAGCAGCCCAGAGACCTGCCCACTCCCTGAGTGGGGAGCTCTTAGCCAGCTCTAGTTCTCTAGAGGAGCTGGGTCCTCTTACTCCTTTCTCCACCTCCCTTCCTAGCTGTAAGAGATGAATTCATTTATCAGCACTTCTACATCCAACACATGCTCGCTGTAAGTCGAGCTTCTAGTGTAAGTCACTTCTAGTAACCACTGACCTCTGGTACTAGTCTTCCCCAGCTGCCCTGCTTTCACTTTTGGCTCTGAGCCCCCAGACAGGAAGCTGTATTAGCTGACAATGCCAGAGAGGGCAAAAGAATTAAATGCTTAGAGCTGCCACAAAGTAGAGCCAGGTGAGACATCAAAGGCTACTTTAAGAGGGCAGCCCATTAGAAATCAGATTGGTGCTTTGAATGAGAACTCAGCATAGCAGATTTCTTAAGACTTTTCCTCCTTTGTTCCTCACCTGTTTACATTTGGACCACCCCTCAACCAGCCTTTCTTCCCTTGGGTGATACTGGCAGTGCAATACACTCTGATACTTGCAGTGTCAGAGGAAGAACATGCCAGAAGAACTGTAAAAGGAAGTACTACAGAGGGAAAGCATGAAATGAGAGTCTCTCAGATGTGCAGTAAGAAACTGGAGTCCCCCTTTCACATGCTCTACTCTATACTAGAGCACTGTCCATGGACTCCCAAGGACATACAGCCTTAGGGCCAAGCTCCCCCACTGCAGCTCTTGCATTTTCTTCATCCCTAGTGCTGTCTCCAGTGACTAGGAAAAAAGATTTAGTCTTACTTTCACACCTATCAACACATGGCTGTAAACAGGTAGAGAGCAAAGCCTCAGCAAATGGCCTAGAAACCTTTTTCTCTGTGGAAAGGGTGAGCTACTCTGCTCCGCATTTAATGGACAGCAAAGTCAATTGTCAGTTCTCGCAGGCAAAGAGACCATGGACAAGCACATTATCGAGCCTACCAGGAAAGATCAGCTTGCTAGTAACAGAAGAGCTAAGTACTCCAGCAACTACTGGAATACAGCAATCCACGCAAATCACCATCCCAGCCAACGCTACTGCAGCAGCAACTTATCAACCCAGAGCCCAAAGATAAGCTGTAACAAGAGAGAAGAAACATGCTTGTGGGGTGCCACAGACACAACCTATGATGGCAAGATGCAGGTTGTACTTAGACAACAACTGTTAGGTGGATAGAACTCAGCAGCATACTGCTCTCTGCAACCAGCTCTACTAGGAAGAGGGAGATACTCGAGTTCTGCTGTACATTTCTTGTCCCCAGCCCCTCCTGAGGAAAATACATGACACATTCTTTTGTTCATTCCATTTATTATTCAGTATGGGACACAGCAGAGGTAGGATGTCTCACAAGGGTCTAAGCTGATAAGGTCCTTGCTGATGGGCCTGAAGGATGAAGCAGCCTTCTCTCCCTGCAGTACTGCAGGGAAAGGGGGAGGCAATGGCCAGATTGACTGTGAGCTCTAATAGGTCAACAGGATGAGTATGGGCATCTGAGGATTTTGCCAATTCAGGCTGCAGGCTGTCAAGACTCTGCTGGGACAGGCTCCCACCAACAGAGCTCCAACATGGTGATGGGGGTTAGCAGCACAGCTAGAACAATGACCGTGGAGGGGAAAAGCCTCAGAGGAGGCCTCTGTACTGACAGGTGTGCAGTATAAGGTTCCTTGTTGCTTCTGTTTCTTGCTCCTAATCACAAGGAACTCCTTGCGACTCCAAGGGACTCCAGGCTGCTTTAGTGTTTTGCATTAATAATATCCACAAACTCTGGCTTGAGAGAAGCTCCACCAACAAGGAATCCATCCACATCATGCTGAGAAGCCAGCTCCTTACAGTTGCTGCCAGTGACCGAACCTAAGCAGGAAGCAATATTTTAAGGCCAGTCCTAGATAAAAATGGGGACAGGACAGAGGTAAAACTCACAAGATACTAGCCCTGTCTTACTCTGCAGATAGAGACTGATGCGCCTGTCTCCCATTCACCCCAACAAGCTAGTACGTGGTTCTTCATGCTCTGCCAGTCTCAAGTTTCCTTATCAGCAGAGCAGACAGTGCTGAACAATTGTTGCAACAAACAGAAACAGCGCTTCCTGCACTAGAAAGGGGCATCAGATTCATTTACCTCCATAGATAATCCTAGTTGACTGAGCAACAGCATCAGAGACGTGGCTTTTGAGCCATCCCCTCAGCTTCTCATGAACTTCCTGAGCCTGTGATGGAACAAAAAGTCTGAGGGCTGAGCCGTTCTCTGTACAATACCCTTCCAGAGAGAATTGTCTTGTTCCATCTTCAAGGAGATGGATCTCTTTGGTGGGAACGGTCAGTTGGCCACCCACTCAACATCATACCTGTTGGGGAGTTGCAGTTTTACCAGTACCAATAGCCCACACTGGCTCATAGGCAAGAACCACTTTACTCCAGTCCTTCACGTTATCTGGAAAAGAGAGAGGGTTTAAGGTAAGCACAGTGCCCCATGCTGAAAAAGACAGAGCTTTCTGAAACATGCAGGATTGTTAGTAACATGGTCATTACTATTGCTGCAAGCATTCAGACACATCTGTAGCCTTTTGCAGAGACCAGGAACAGACCATTAAAGCCACAATGCCAAAAAGTGCCCATTTTCTTCCCTTACCAGCAATAGCTTTGGTCTGTTCAAAAACCACTTTCTCCGTTATGCCGGCTTCTCTCTCATCCAGCTTCTCTCCAATGCAAGCAATGACACCAAGGCCTTCAGCGAGAGCATGAGCCACCTTCTGCCCAATCAACTGGGAATGCAGAAGAACCACACACACACACAAGATGACCGACAGTCCAGCCCATTCTTGCACTCTTCTTTCCCGCCACTGCTCACCCTCCAGCCTACATACGAATATCTGAACTGGGCCATCTCTCTATCCTAGGGTCACTCACCTCATCAGACTCTCCAAAAACATGCCTCCGCTCTGAGTGGCCCAGAATCACCCACGCAGCTCCAATGTCTTTAATCATTGCTGGGCTGGGGAGAAAGGAAATAATGGTATTGGCTTATACCTCCAGGGGAAATTCACTTTCCAAAAGCACCCTGGCTTTGCTCTTCCTTTTGGGCTTACCTGATCTCTCCTGTGAAAGCTCCTTTTGGTACCTTGTAACAGTTCTGTGCTGCAACCCCAATCTTTGCATCAAGCTTCTGACGGGCAAAGTCAAGGTAGATAGAAGGGGCTCCACAAACCACCTCTGGAAAGCAGAAAAAAGTTAACCTTGACAAAGTATACAGGCAGGAACTGCACCCAACCACTGACCCTGAAGCTCAGCACTAAGGCATCATCCTTCTCTTCCCCAGTCCTAGGAAGACTTAGCCTGCCTGCCTGCCTGCCCTTACTGACATTTTGGGGATCCTCTGCAGCAGCAGAGATATTCCTGCTCTCAGTTATCTGATGACTCAATAGCAGGGAGAAAACCCTTTTCTAGTAGCCATATAGGTGAGATCAGGCAGACAGCCAGGCCCCTAAGCTAGTTCACACAGGTCCATTGGAAACAATCCAGCTGAGAAACTGGACAAGAATCCTGCTCTGTTGCTGAGGCTTCATTGAACTGGGCAAGAAGAGGGCAGCATCAGGTTACATCTGGGATTATAACTGGGTCTAGCAGCAAGTAACAGCCTTGTAGCCTCCCAGGCTAGCATAGCTCTAGAGTGACCTCAGTTGAAATACTGTACTCTGCACTCCTTGATCCCAGGCATCAGATAAGCTCAAGAGTATGGGGGTGGATGTTGGAGAAGACCTGCAGAAACGCTAACGAGCTGGGGGGCAGGGGAGGGGGTAAGGTCAAGAGAGAGAAGCAGAATCTTAGGGAGATAAGTGGTCAGAGCCTTACACCACCCAGCTTGGCAGAGCCACAGCACCACTGCACACATGGACACGAGACTCACAAGCACTGCTTGATGGCAGGCACCAACAAGGAAGTTCCCCAGAAGTGGCCTGAGACAGCACTGAAGGGGCTCCCTGCCACAGGGAGGGCTGCGAGAGGCCCCGTTC